TAAAATGTATAAATAAATATATTTAAGAGATTTGTTTTAATTTGTAATATTTATTAAAAAATATTAAATATTTCATCAATATTAAAAATAAAAAAATATATATATTCAATATATAAATAATTTTCAGTGTATAAGTCATCCTCTTTGTGATATACAGTTACCTTGATGCAGGACATTTGGTCTTACTACCATCTAATAGTACTTTCAAAGCCACAGTAGGTCTGTGGAAATGTAGAGGTAATGAAGTTTGAAGTTCTATTAATATTTGAGGTTGATTGAGGCTGATGTGAAACCTTTGTGTCGTACCTGCTTTCGTTCCTCTGGACTCAGCAGCAGGTACCGTGGATCAAATACAATTTTGTGCAGTTCTTTCTCCCAGGTGGAGAACGCAGACACCTGTTCAAAATACACAGGATGAATGATCCTCATCCAGAACAAACGCATGTCAATTAAGCCACTTCATTTCAAGATTCACAGTGTGTGCAAATATACAAAGTCTGCACTATTTTGGTGGGCCAAGTACTGACAGAATTTAAATTTTTGGGTGAACGATTGCATTAACTTTTATCTCATTTTTTTTCTTTCTTTAAGGCTGAAGTTTCATTATTATCACTGGATTTCTCACCCCTCTTTCCAGAAGCATGTCTCTGAAGTGGCCGATCCGGAGCTCCAGCGGTAAAACCATCCGAAGAGATGATCCATTTTTTCCTTCACACTCAACAGGATGGTCCAGTCTTTAAAGGAATGGAAATACAACAGCTCTGATGTGTAATTCTGTTAATATTTTGTCCAATACATTGAAAAAATTGATGTAGAAACACTACACTAGAAAAACACTAAATTGATATTTTCACTCAGAAAAAAAAATGTCAAAAGTTTTCTAAAACAATTACAAAGAAACAGCAAGTAACACATTGAATTAAACATGACAATTTTAAGTAGAAAAACTAAAAAAAAAGATTTTCTTGTACTCCAATAATCTTTGTTTTATTTACAACTTCAGAAAATATTTTTTTACAGCATTGATTCTGCACAAACTATTATGATGGTAATATAACTCACTCAAATATCTTCAAATATTTTAGAGTAAATATTGTGTGAATTAAATATTCATGCCATTTCAGCAAATCTGACTGTGCCTCTTTTGCTATCATTAATTTTTATCATACACTGCAAAGTTTGGACATACTTTGTTTCTCTTCATCTTCAAAACTTTTTGATCTAAAGACTTATGATTAAATGCTTGAAGTTTTGAACACAGACATAAGTCGTGCATATATATATATTTTTTCTTTTCTTATATTATAAAACTACATTTTGAATGACCTTTTTCATTGGGCATTAAAAAAATCCATACCAGCCAACCAGTATTTCAGACCACAAGGAAAAAAAAAAAAAACAGAAACAAATGAAATCAAAAACTGTTGTAAATGAAATATGCAAAAAAACTGAATTATTCTTGAAATGTAAAGTGTTTTCTTTTCTCCACACAGACATTTGGGAGTATTTCAAACACCCAACTGTTCAATTGAAATCATCTCCAAGAGTGACAGATTGAGAAATTCGCATCATGCTGTGAGTGCAGATGTTGCCCACCAAAAACTAAAGACTTCCTGTTGAGCTGCGATTATTAAGGTGAGTGAAATGCAACACATCTGATACAAGATCCTCCTCATCAATTAAAGCAGATTAAGATCTGCTGTCATATTTTACATGGGTCGGCCCTATACTTACTTGTAGCGCTTGGTGTTTGAACTACCTTCCTCTTCATCGTCGTCGTCATCATCAGCATTTGAGCCATCGTCTGTTGATGGAACAAAACATGCTGTAGATCAGTATATATACACTGTACTTGGATTTAACATTGTAAACAGATTATCAAAAGAAACAAGTGATAAATTAGTAAAAATATGCAACAAGTTTGTAAAGTTTTATTTATGCACATAACTCCAGCTCTTCTGAATTGATATACCTGGCTCATGCCAGGTTGTTAATCCGAAAAGTACAATAAGAACTAATTTACTTGGACATATTTAAATTTTAGACGCTGAATAGATTAAGGTCATCAAATAGATAATCTCCATGAAATGGCAATAAAACTAAATCAATAAATATGAAAAGCCTTCTGGGAAATCAAGCCAACCGTATAATAACTTCCAGACAAGATCCAGACTAATTCAATATTTGCAGAGCCGCTTCATTGGATTACTGCTTTTAGTTAATCCACGAGAACACCAGTTCTGCAGTTGGTGGGTGTATTAAACTTTTACTTGAGCATCATTATCACACTGTGAGGATTAAACTTTCAGCCAAGTTCATCCCTTTACAGACTGTGCACCTGTATTTCATATCATAAAGTCATGAGTTACATTTCACTGATTCAGCAACTTAATCTGAACATAAATGAGTCTTTCCTTGAGGCTACAGTAGGGCTTGCCAACATGACCTCATTAGTATTTGCAGGTATGCTACTGTTCAAAAGTTTGGGGTCAGTAAGGTTTAAAAAAAAAAAAAAAAAAAAAATTTCGAGGAAAAATGAAGTTGATACCTTATATTAAATCCAGATCATTCCTTTCAACATGAAGAAATGGATGGATACACTACTTTTCAAAAGTTTGAGGTCAGCAAAAAAAAAAGAAAAAAAAAAGATTACTTTTATTCAGCAAGGATGCATAAAATTGATCAAAAATGACAGTAAAGACATTTATAATGTTACAAAAGATTTCCATTCACAAAAATGCTGTTCTGTTGAACTTTCTATTCATCGAATAATCCTGAAAATAATTATTTCCACAAACATATTAAGCAGCACAAATGTTTATTAATAAATAATAAATGTTTCTTGAGCAGCAAATCAGCATATTAGAATGCTTTCTGAAGGATCATGTGACACTGAAGACTGCCGAAAATTGAGCGTTGCCATCACAGTAATAATTACATATTTATTCCTGTTTGTATTTACATTTGCATATATTTTATATTTACAAATAAAATGGAAAAATATTTCACAATATTATGTTTTTACTGTATTTTTGATCAAATAAAT